ACATGAGGACGGGTAGGCCTCCCCATAGTCCATTTATTTTATTCAAACTTTGTGTAATGAACGTACGAAACTGATTGAATTAATCTGGCTAAACCAGTCCCACTTTAGTCTCTCATTATTTAAGACGTAGGGGAAATAGTACGGGAGATCGGTTATGAGGGCGTCCACGTTTTTCGTCAGCCACCTATGATTTATGGGTAGCCGAGACACGTATCTGCTCGTTCTAATCCAAGATCTTGTTTATGTTCCGGACCTCATACTTCTCTTCGATTTATTAATCTGGTTCTCTATCTTGTATCCGCATCCAGAGGATACCAAAACTAGCATTACATATCTCAGCACGTCCACCTTCAGTGGGCAAAAGTTTCTTGTACGATAACCAATTAAAAAAACAACTACATCCTGTCTAATAAGATAAAAAAGTGTTTGTTAAACAACCGTTAGCGTTACTACTGATGCACGGTAAAATATGTGAGTCAATACTACATTTTTTAGATATCTTTGTTTAAAGTAAATATAATAAAACTCGAGGTGTGGAAAATACGCGCGTTCCCATGTTTCAAGGCGAAACCAGTGAACGAATTTCGATTGAATGTTATACTGGGCGACCACACTTAGGCCTTGAGGAAATTTAATATTCATGCACACGTAGTACTTACTCGAAACGAAATCCGAATTCAACACAATCGTCTTTTTATGAAAACTGAAAAATTAAATACATAGGCTACCTCATTAAACCGTGCCTTACGTTTGGAACATTTCTTAACACAGTGAAAATCTAAAAAAAACCAACAAATACAATCTGACTATGCATACGATGCTTTAGCGTGAACAGAATCACAATGATAGATCTGTGTCTGCAGTACATAAACATCACATCAAATAAAATTCGCTGTTGATTATGAACTCGAAATTCGCATGATGCACCGAGTAAAAACAGGGAACATCTCAGTCAAAACTGGTGATAACCCGGTCAAGATTACAAACGTGTACTTCCCAAACATACGTCTAAATCGTTATCGCTAATTAACCTTCTCGATTTATTACACATCTTTTGTCTCGTGGAAACATTTCCTCACCTATCACTCAAATTCTTTATGTACGAAAACTACATTAACAAGCACAAACAATGTTTGCCCACGTGTGATTGGTTGCTGTTGTTAAACATTTTCAGTCCTTTGTGGTAAGCACTTTGTCTTAACTCTTGAAATAGTTTACTGCTTCAAAGGCTTGGTAACAGCTGTCGTCGAAGGCGGCAGATGTCTGATACACGAAATGGGATCCAAATAGGGCTCTTGTTTGTAGGAGCTCGAAACTGGATGTTTTTAAAAGAGTTGCATGGAAATGGGCAAGACAACGTTCACCTGGGACCCAGTTTATAGTAATGTGAATTCTGCCGTACAAAATACGTCAGAGCAATAGAATAATATGCTGTTGTTAAAAGAGGATCGTTCGTATAAGAATTTTCCATAAATTAAAACACAAGATGAAGTTACATTTATTATAAACCCAACGTGCTCGGCATTTTAAAATGTTATACTCAGGGATATCAATGAATTTTTAGAATATTATTCTTATACAAAATATCTATATTTTAATGTCCAGTGTATCATACTACAATCCAAGTCTGTGTCACCAATTAAACGTTGTTCTAAAACCCTGGAATATTTATTTAAATTAAAAAATGTGTATGGTACAGACCACATTAACAGTGAATGAGTGTCATCTGTTTCGATGAATATTAAAAAAATCTTTAATCCTCGTCTTTGTACGTTAAAAACTTTACACATTACCGAAGTAAACAGCAGCCAGAGGACACTCGTATAATAGATCAAAATACCATTCATCTGCGCATGTTCACACTATCCAGCGTAATTCGAATTTGTAAGTTTCTTGTAAGGAATATTGTTTACGACAAATAAATTGAATTATACCCCTGAAGATATTCTCTTAAACGTCGAAACATGATAGGTTTGTGATAAATGTCACTTCAGTTTATGTAGTAATTTATGGTAATTCTTGTGTGAAATATGCAGAGTATAAAACAGTTTGCATCCTAATAGGAAAATAATAAGATTTAATGTCGCGTCATATACATGCGATTTTTACAGGAATATTACGTGCACAGGGCGAGTTATTAGTTATTCTGAGTTCGAGAAATCAACACACAGGATATTTCTGAAATACACGTCATCACATCAACAAATCTGCGAACATAGGGCCCCTTGGATGCTTCGTTTTTGAGTTACGGTCATTGAGAGAATGGTCTGGCGGTGTTTACGAGGCAATCTTCAATAATGATGATGACAAAGACGATATACTTCTTTCTCACAATTCTTTGTTCCCTTCTCTATTTTCTATCGCTCTTTCCTTCTTTATCGAAATCTTCACCACTCCACACGGTTTCAATTTCCAAAAGCAAAACGAAGGTACAATACACTATAGCAATCGCCTAATGTTACGATGCTGTGGTTAGAATCGCTGTTTCGTATTCTTGAGAGACCCTGTTCGAACCTCGATAAGGAGAGCTATAATGAATGAGGATTTTCCACGGTTATCCTATGTCCCACCCTCAATGAATACAGAAACAGAATCTTAAAACAGTCATGGCCATGTTATTCCAAGTCCTTTCCAACTCATAATTTATATACATAGTGAATATTCTAGGGACTACATACATATACCATGCAGTACGTAATGAACGAGTATACATATTAACGCAGCGGCCTTGCTTTGTATCACTAACGCATTACGTCTCTCTCTCTCTTTGTCATCAGTCTTCCGACTGGTTTGATGCGGTCCTCCATTTTCGTCTAACTTGCGCCAATCTCTTATTTTTTAAAGCCCACATCCTCAAAAATCCATGTCACATTTTCCAATCTTTGTCTCCCCTTACAATATTCCCCTATCAGGATTAATAGAACTTCAAGCTAGAGTTCATGGAGTCTGAAATCGAAACACACTAGCAAATCACATGTTTAAATATTACGAAACTTTGCCTCAATTCAACCACAATGTTAGAAAAACCTCTCTACTGCGCCAACCCCTATACTAATTCAACCGTACACAGTTGGGAATGGAATTACGGTACAGCCTATGACTGGTACGGACTTTACCTTGTACGTGGATGACCCTGACCTACCGCCAGAATGCTGTTCCCACTGTGAATATGACAAATTTATAGTTCGTTGGTTGATAACTCACGTGTTCGAAACGTGGTTAGGGCTGAGCACGTAATTCCAAATTTATTATGAAGCCAAGGGCGCACACACGTAATCGCCAATGACGGAGCAAACTGTTTAGCAGTAACGCTCTAGACTTTCTTAATGAAAGTACCCGGTTCGAATCTTTTCCAGGTTACAGGGAATCCTACAATTCGCTCGTGGTTTATTTAAGTTTATTCGGTCCACAAATGGGACAGTGCCTTCAAACAGGTACATACAGCCTTTTTACCAAATTATTATCAGCTCATCATTCATTATAATTTTACATTCTCATTCAAGATTACATAACTCAATGGAGATTGAAACCAGACTAGTCTCGCCGACGACAGATTTCTGGGCCATTGAGGCATTGCGCCGTATAGCCTCGAAGAAGTTCGCATTTCAGAGACGCTCTCCTCCATTCTCGCCGCCGTGAGAGCCTCAATTCTCAGTCTCTTCCTGTGCAACGCCGATGGAAATCCGGACTCCAGCATCTTCGTACTATTCCATATTTCACAGCGGAAATTGAGCTTTATGCCCGTATGCTCGTGTGTGTAACCCCCCCCCCCCCCCCCCATTTATAACCTCTGGACCGACTGACTTTAATGAAAACGTCATGCAGCCGGAAGTAATCACTTCCAACTCATTTTCTTTCAGTCTTGTCGTTACAGCATGGTGCGTCCTCAGAGTGGGGACGGATAAGACGACAAAGGTCATAGGTAACCCATGACACGGATTAGGGCGGTATCGCACTAGGATGCTAACGGGAGGCCATGGCGGAGCTGCCAGCATCTCGGCCAAACTCTATGCATTAATTTAGTAGTCATATATCGCACCTGGCATCCGTCTGGCAGCGCTTCCAACTTGGCATCGCTGTCAACTACGATGCCAAGTGAAAATGTTACTGGCATCGCTGCCACGGCCAAGGACAAATCAACATCACACGACAGTCTGAGGCCAGTCCATTGACGTCCGTGCGTGTATGTGCTTGTGTGTATTTCTATTTCTTTCAAACATGGACAATTTC